TTTTTTATTTGTACAAAAAATACCTTTGGGTATGTTTACTGATGACAAAAACAAAAATAAATCTATAGAGCCTTTTCCCACTTTAGCATGTTATTACAATGGAAGTAATGACCCTGTATCCAATATAATAGTGCTTTCTAAAGCATATGTTTAGTTATCTAAAAACAAAGATACGAATTGTTAAAAGTATTATTTTCACTGAGAAAAACATGGGGAAATTCATCAGGAAAAAGTATGGCTTTCTCATTACATCATAGAAAGCAACATGTATTTGCTGCTGTTTATGATGTATTTTTCTTGCCTTCAAACTACAACGCCCTTGGCCCAGCTTGGTGGCTCACAAAATCCCAACACTTTGGGAGGCCAAGGCGAGAGGCTAGCTCAGGCCCAGGAGTTAGAGACCAGCCTGGGCAACATGACAAAACTCCGTCTCTACCAAAGAAAATACAAAAATGAGCCGGGTGCGGTGGCGCACACCTAGAGTCCCAACTACTCTGGTGCAAAGGTGGGAGGTTCGCTCGAGCCTGGGACGTCCAGGCTGCAGTGAGCCGTGATTGTGCCACGGCACTCCTGCTTCAGCGACAGAGACCCTATCTCAAAACAATAAATAAAAATAAAATAAAAAAATAAACTGCAAGAGCCTGTGATAACTAGTCGAAAGTTTTGCTGTTCCTCCTGACATGATCAAAACCGGGATTCTCATCTGTCTAAAAAAGGTATAAATATGGATATAGAGAACCAACGTTTAAAAGGATAACACAGTGACCTGATTTTTTACAACTCGATGACTATGAGATCTTACAGTCCAACTAACCTACCATATGCAACTCAACATCTTTCCTTAGCCTTTCAAATAACTAAACCAATCTTTCCCAAAGTAGATGCTCCAGGATCCTTCCAACTTTAACCATTTATTAAAATGTAAGTGCCTCCTAAGTCTGTTGACTTCACTATTATTCAAGTTACACCAAACCACCATCTCCTTCAGTCTCCCAGAAACTGACGTGAGCTGTTTAAACACCATCTTTCATCTAGATGGTTTTTAATCTCTCTCAAGTCTATCACACCTCTGAAGTTTGATAACAAAATCCTGAGGTAACTTCTCCAGCTTGCCAAATTGCTGGCTACCCAAAAGTGAGGATTTAGGCCCACTTTCTGGGGCAAATATAGCAAATATTTACTCAGCTTTTTCCACATCAGTCACTATACTTTGTGAACAAACATTACCTGTATTATCTCATTTAATCTTCAACAACTCTATGATGTAGATTTTATTTAGATCAGGAAACTCAAGCCCCAAGAGATATAGCAACTTGCACAAGGTCACACAACTACTACATTTTTGGGACCAGGCCACTCTGCAACTATGGCCCTTATTTCTCTGAATTTTGAGATAAACCCATTGCTTTAGGTATTTAGCAGTTCTGCTTTTTCTTTTCTGTTAGCAGTTGCAAAAACATCAGTGAAATCAACACAAAGTGCAGGAGGATGAACTTTTACCTCAGTGCTATAAATTTCCTTCAGTTCTGGGTTTTTCTCCCTGCTAGGTCACAGTGACAAGGCAGGGCCTAGGGTGAGGTTAAGTGAGGAATTCACTTCACATCCAAAATTCAAGGAGGCCCCCAAAGCTCAGTAATCAAGATTAAAGTATCTTAACACAATATTTTCATTTTTTTATCCATTTTTTTTTTTTTTTTTATGAGACTGCTTCTAGTTCCGTTGCCCAGGCACGATCTCAGCTTACTGCAACCTCTGCCTCCTGGGCCCGCCGCCAAGCCCGGCCAATTTTTGTAATTTTTTTTTTGAGACGGAGTTTCGCTCTTGTTACCCAGGCTGGAGTGCAATGGCGCGATCTCGGCTCACCACAACCTCCGCCTCCTGGGTTCAGGCAATTCTCCTGCCTCAGCCTCCCGAGTAGCTGGGATTACAGGCATGCGCCACCATGCGCAGCTAATTTTTTGTATTTTTAGTAGAGACGGGGTTTCACCATGTTGACCAGAATGGTCTTGATCTCTCAACCTCGTGATCCACCGTCTCAGCCTCCCAAAGTGCTGGGATTACAGGCTTGAGCCACCGCGCCCGGCCCTAATTTTTGTAGTTTTAATAGCGATGCGGTTTCACCATGTTGGCCAGGCTTGTCTCTAACTCCTGACCTCAGGTGATCCACCCGCCTTGGCCTCCCAAAGTGCCATGAGACACAGAGCCTGACCTCACAGTATTTTCAAAAATGAAAATCAATGCAAAACCAATCCATGATGAACAAGATATCAAACATTTTTTTAAAAGATAGGATCAAAGGCTGGACGTGGTGGCACAGGCCTGTAATCCTAGCACTTTGGGAGGTCGAGGTGGGTGAATCTCTGGAGCCCAGAAGTCGAGACCCATGTAGGCAACATAGTGAGAACCCGTCTCTATAAAAATACAAAAAATTAGCTGGGCATGGTGGCACACACCTGTATCCCAGATACTTGGGAGGCTGAGGTAGGAGGATTGCCTGAGCCCAGGAAGTCGAGGGTACAGTGAGCTGTGATCGTGCCATTGCACTCTTCTAGCCTGGGTGACAGAGTGAGACCCCGTTTAAAAAAAAAAAACAGGATCAGATCAGACTCTGTACTTACACAGCACTCCTTCACTTGCTTCACTTTAGTTCTTAGGTCAAGAAAACTTTATTTACAAAAACAGGTGGCCAAACAAATGGCTACAGTTTGTCCATTTAATTTTTCAAGTATTTCATTAAAATATTAATTATCCCTATTAACAAATTGTTTGTGACTCCTTGAACTTTATACTAGGAGCAAGTGCTTCATTTACCTCACCCTAGTCCTAGCCCTGGCCAGTGACAAAATATTATTTTTTAAAGCTATTTTAATGCCACAAAATATTTCAGAACTTGTGATGAAGTTGGGGTGGGTTTAAGTAGCAGTATGGGATCAACAGGGACCATGTCTTAGGAGAGGAAAGACTGTTGCTACTAATCTTGAAATAGACTGCTAAAAACACCTTAAAGACAGCAACAACAAAAAAGACTTTTCATGGCCATTCCCCCTCAGAGGTAAAGTGAGAGGCAGGTAAATTCCTCAACCTCATAAGGACATCTACAAAAACCCAACCAAAGGTGAAATGATGATTAACCGTTTTCTCCTTAAGATCAGAAACAAGTCAAGGATGTCCAATCTCACCATATCTAATTAACTTTTTGCTAGAAATTCTATCCAGAGCAATTAGTCAAGAAAAAGAAATAAAAGGCAAGTAGATTAGAAAAAAGTGAAACTATCTGTTCTCAGATATCATGATCTTGCATGCAGAAATTCCTAAAGATACACACACACACACACACACACACACACACACACAGATTAGCACTAATGAACACATTCAGCAAGGTTGCAAGATACAAGATCTATATGCAAAAATTAATTCTATTTATAAATACCAGCAATGAACTATCCAAAATGGAAATTAAGAACTTTCAATGGGAGGAAAATTAATTAGTCTTTTTAACAGGCAGTGTTGGAACAATTATATGCTAAAATTCGATAGAAGGAAGTTGGCTCTTAACTCACCCCGGATCTCAAAATGGATCAAAGATGTAAAACTACAAAACTCTCAGAAGGAAACAAAAGTATATCTTCATGATTTTCTAGATATGACACCAAAGCATGAACAACAGCAAAAACCAGATAAATTGTATTTTACCAAAATTTGAAAGTTCGGGACTTCAAAGGACACTATAAAGAAAGTTCAGGTTGGGCGCGGTGGCTCACGCCTGTAATCCTAGCACTGTGGGAGGCCGAGATGGGTGTATCACTTGAGATCAGGAGTTCAAGACCAGCCTGACCTCCGCCTCCTGGGATTACAAGTGTGAGCCACTGCGCCCCTCTTTGTTTCATTCCTTTTTTTTTTTGAGATGGAGTCTCACTCTGACACCCAGGCTGGAGTGCAGTGCCGTGATCTCGACTTACTGCAGCCTCCACCTCCAGGGTTGAAGCACTTCTTCTGCCTCAGCCTCCCGCATAGCTAGGACTACAGGCACGCACCACCATGCCCAGCTAATTTTTGTATTTTCAGTAGAGATGGGGTTTCACCGTGTTGGCCAGGTGGTCTCGAACTCCTGGTCTCAAGTGAGCTGCCACCTCGGCCTCCCAAATAGCTGGGATTACAGGAGTGAGACACCACACCCAGCCAACTCTCACTCCCCATCTGGCTTGGAATGTCTCTTCCGTCCCCACCTCCCCCATTTCTAAGATGATGATAGCAGAGAAACCTATCCAAGTAAAAGCCACTCTTTCTCGGTTTGGTGCAAAGGGAGGAGGTTAGGGGCCTTGATAAAGGATTTATTCTTTTCTAAGGCTCCACTCTCCCTGTAGAGGTCTGAGATTAGAGACTTAGAGAGAGCCAGCAAAGAAAGGCGATATAACCACCAGAGCGAATAACCACCAGCCAACAGTCAAACACACCAACCACCCCTTCGAATAACCACCAGACAACAAAGCAGATACACCAACCCATCAACGCTTGGCACGCCCAAACCGGGATCCCTAGTAAAATAGCCTAAGGCTTGCTCCTCCTGGCCCTGGAATCTAGTGATTTATGACATCCGCTTGGACTGAGAAGAGCACTTGGCCCCAGGTGTTTTAAGGAGGCCAGTAGAAGAGTTCTTCGGAGAGTAAAATGCAAGAAATAGCGGTCTTTATATTTTCCCCGCTTGAACCTTTCCGCAATCCTTACACTCTACGCGCTTTTTGTCAGCCTCCCTTAGAGTTCCCCACTTGAAAGGAGAGGCCTGGAGGTTAGGGGAAGGAAAGAAGAGAAGGGATGGGGGCCAAGTAGTCCTAAGGTTTTTCAGGGTGGGGGAGGCGCGGGGGTGCCCTGAGGGGGAAGCCTCTCTTCGAAAGGGTGAGTTCCTCCCGACGCCGCTTCTAGTCAGCGCTATGCCGAGGTCTTGCGCTCAAGACCAGCGAGCCCAAACTAGTGGGGACTGGGATCCGAAATCTACATACCTAGAGACAAATCTAGGAAGTTAACCTTTTTCCGACTGGGAAGATCTGTCAGCATATTTTCAGAAAGCGTTAGCTTCCGAAGCGAACTCATCTCCTCGTTGTCACAGCTCTACACTCGGACTAAGGCGCGTGTACCGCCCACTCACTGCACGGGAAGGGCAGGATCTTGGGCTAACCTGGTCCTCCAATCGCAGCCTCTTCCTTCGCTGTTGCTAAGGCCCAAGAGGCGGAACTTGGAGTATAACCCTCGCTAAGTTTCCTATCAGGAGCTAGGCTCACTAGAAAAAAAAAAAAAAGAAAGAAAAGACCCGCCCATCTCCTACCCCATCCCCCTTTCTAAAAATATTGTCTCCACCCAGAGTACTATCCAGTTCGCCACAAGTTTCTCGTGTATGTGGTGTTCCAACCCTTTCCTTTCACAGCTCCTAGAACCCATTTCTCTTCTTTGCTGTTGACATTCTTGGCGAATAAAACCCTATATTCTTGACTTAATGGGCTGGTGCTTTACTTCTCTCATATTCCAAGAGCGAGCCCAAATTGAGCATGAGCGAGAATTCACAGGCTTGCAATGCCACACGCGTTCTTTTCTTTTCTTTTTGAGACGGAGTCTCCCTCTGTAGCCCAGGCTGGAGTGCAGTGGTGCCATCTTGGCTCACCGCAACCTCCATCTTCCGCGTTCTAGCGCATCTCCCACCTAAACCTCCGGAGTAGCTGAGATTACAGGCGCGCGCCACCATTCCGGGCTGATTTTTGTATTTTTAGTAGAGACGGGGTTTCACTATGTTGACCAGACTGGTCTCCAGGGCTCAAGTGATCCACCCACCTCAGCTTCCCTCATACCACCGCACCCACGCTTGCTTGCCTGCCTTCCTTCCCTTTCTTTCCTTCCTCCCTTCCTTCCTTTCTTCATTCCTCCCTTTCTCCCTCCCTCCCTTCCTTTCTTTTTTCTTTCCACCCGTGTCGGCCTCCCTCCCTCACTACACCTGACTTTTTCCTTTCTTTTCTTTTTTCCTTCCTTCCTTCCCTCCGTCCTCTTTCTCTTTCTTTCTTTCTTTTCTTTCTCTTTCCTTCTTTCTTTCTTTTTCTCTTTCCTTTCTTCCTTTCTTTTTTCCTTCTTTCCTTTCTTTTTCTTTCTTCTTTCTTTTTTCTTTCTTTCTTTCCTCAATCTGTTGCCCAGGTTGGCATGTCATTATGGCTTACTGCAGCCTCAACCTCCCAGACTCCTCTCAGGCTGTAGAGATGGGGGTCTTGCCATGTTGGCCAGGCTGATCTCAAACTCCTGCCCTCAAGCGATACTCCTACGTTGGCCTCCCAAAGTGCTGCGATTACAGGCATAAGCCACCATGCCCAGGCTGCCACATGCTGTTCGATGACCTTAAAGATGTGTCTATCACATTTCTTAAGAAAAATGTAAGTGTTCCTGTTATCACCTGATACTGCTCAATCAATGCCATTTTTAAATGTTAGAGAAATCTTGTCACTGGCTCTTCAACAGAAATAAAGATCAAATTAATACACCTTCAAAGCTGAAAACATGTTCAAGCTGTTACAGAAGTCACAGCATAAATAAATGTCTGAAGAGATTTTGAAATGTAAATTATTTAACTATTTATTGCACTTAAGTAAGTGCTTGGCACCTGGGACCTAATGATTAATAAATAAATCTTTTTCTCCATGCATATACAATTGCCTGAAGACAATAAATGAATGCAAAATATTAATGTAGGTGCTGTAATTTAGTCTGTCAACAAATACTGAGCTCCTACTGTGTTAGGTTCTGAGACACAGGTATGTACAAAATGTATTTGGGGGTCAAAGGAGAAAATTCACCTAAGGAATCAAGAAAAAAGTATTTAAATCCTGAAAAACTGGGGAATCATTGTAAAGCTGGGAATGGTATTTCTTGGCAGAGGAAGCAGCACTACTAACACACTCTGGAAATTTCTATTAATTGCGTGTTGTGGGTATTGAGAGATGAGTCTAAAGAGATCAACAGAGATTAGTGGAGTGACTTTTAAAATATATTATGCTAATGGTTTGGGGCTTTTTTTCTGTCAGATTTATTTTTCTGTCAGGTGTGATTACGGATGAAAGAGGATCAAAGATAGAACTCCAAGAAAATTAAAAAGAACGTAGAGTAGAAAATATCAGAGAGGGCCAGGTGCAGTGGCTCACGCCTGTAATCCCAGCACCTTGGGAGGCCAAGGCGGGTAGATCAGCTAAGGTCAGGAGTTCGAGACCAGTGTGACCAACATGGTGAAACCTGGTCTCTACTAAAAATACAATAATTTTCCGGGCGTAGTGGTGCATGCCTATAATCCCAGCTACTTAGGAGGCTGAGTCAGGACAATCACTTGAACCTGGGAGGTGGAGGTTGCAGTGAGCCGACATCATGTGTCATTGCTCTCCAGCCTGGGCAACAAGATCAAAACTCCATCTCAGAAAAAAAAAAAAGAATCAGAGAGATATGGATAGAACCAGGAAAGAGGTATTCATTTATTAAGAGAGATTTCCAGGAGGAACCAATTGGTCCATCTTGTCAAGGTTGATAGAAGGTCAAATGAGCTAAGAACTGACTAATTCATTAAATTTATTAATTATGAGGTTTGGTTCTTACTTTCAGCAGAATTATAGAAGGCCATAAACTGAAAAATAACTAATTTTTATTTAACAAACACATATAGCATTTATTATCTGCCAGGCATCGTTCTGAGAGATTTACAAATATTCAATAATGTAGTCTTCATAATAACCCCATGGGAAATAGTATTATCTCCTTTTTACAGGCAAGGAAATGAAGGCACAGAGACATTTAAAAAATTTCCCAAGGATACAGAGGTAGTAAATGTTGGAATTACATTCAAATCCATGCAGTCTGGCTCTAAAAATCAGGCTTGTAACTTCTACTTTTACCCAAGGTAACATAAGGTGTTTTTTTTTTAAATGGAAGAAATGAAATTAAACATGCTTGTAGGTCATGAGAAAGGAACTAGCAAACAGAGACACATTAAAAATGAAATAAAGGGAGGCCAGCACAATGGTTCACACCCATAATCTCAGCACTTTGGGAAGCTGAGACAGGTGGATCACTTGAGGTCAGGAGTTCCAGACCAGCTTGGCCAACATCGTGAAACCCCATCTGTACTAAAAATACAAACCTTAGCTGGGCACGGTGTCACATACCTGTAATCCCAGCTACTTGGGAAGCTGAGGCAAGAGAATTGCTTGAACCCGAGAGGCAGAGATGGTAGTGAGCTGAGATGGCATCAGCACACTCCAGCCCGAGCGTCAGAGCCAGACTCTGTCTGAAATAAATAAATAAAAATAAAGAAAAGGGAGTAAGGAAATAATGAATTTTCTTTCTCCCTACATTTCAGAATTGAGCCTTAGTAGAGATGGGGCCAGGAGATAACTTTGAAAGACATGCTTTGCTTGAGATTGCTTGTTATTTGATTAATTTGATCTTGCATAACTTTCACTTCCCTTAGTTGGACTTCCTTTGCCTTCATTCATATAGATCCTCTCAAATTCTAAGAGCCGGAGCACAAATCTAGCATCTAAGGACAGACTTGCAAAACCACACAGAAATCAAAGTGAGCCCTTTAAAACATCAGTCTTGGCGTGGCGCGAGACTGCAATCTCAGCACTTTGAGAGGTTGAGGCGGGAGGATCCCTTGAGCCCTGGAGTTCGATGTCAGCCAACAAAGTGAGACCCCCATCTCTTTTTGTGAAAAATTTTTTCACAAAAAATTTTTAAAAATTAGCCGGGCATAATGGTGCGTATCTGTGGTTCCAGCTACTCCAGATGCTGAGGTGGGAGGTTCGCTTGAGCCGGGGAGGCAGAGGTTGCAGTGAGCCATTATCTCAGCATTGCACTCCAATCTGAGAGACAGAGCAACACCCTGCCTCAAAAAAAACAAAACAAAAAGAAGCAGGGGCAGTGTGGAATTCATTCTGGCAACAGCGGTGGCAATCGCAAAAGCCAGTTTCTTGAGGCAGCAATGGTAGTGTTGCAAATCACAGTATCTAGTGTCTGGCAGTTGTGGCCTCCTCAAATTCATTTTAAGGTGTGATTTTAGCTGAAACTATAAATTTCTCGTCTCTCTTGGTTCCTGTGCTTTTTCTTAAGCTTGGTTCTTTAGACATCCTGGCTATTCCCTGAGCTATGTAACATAACAGGCTTTCAATACATTTCTTCTATGCTTAAAGCAGCTAGGATTTGTCACATTCAACTAAGAACCCTATTTCTACTGGCATCAAAAGAAATATAAAGGAGATAATTCACTGGTTTTTGCTTCCATTTGGGGCACCATTTGTTACCGGACAAACTACAGTGAAACCAAAGAAAATCAACCAGGTTTGTGAGGAGATTTAAATCGTGTCATGTGAAGCATGGTTGAAGAAATTTTGCCCATAGAACAGAAATCTCAGGGGACCATAATAACTGTCTTCAAGTATTTTTATGGAAAAAGGAGTGAATTTATTATTTGGTCTGGCAGGAAAGGGCAGCATTACCCCCAAGTGGACCCAAATTACAGGAAAACAGATTTCTGCACTATATAGAGACAAACTTTCTAATAATTAAAACTAAAACAATGGGACAAAACTACAATGGGAGAAGCTGCATTGAATTGCCATTCTTGACACTGTGAATGTTAAAGCAGAAGCTAGATTACTGCCTACTTCAATGGGTTAGGTTCAGTGGTTATTGAGCTTTCTTTTAATCTGATATTGCCGAAGAAACAGGCACACTTCTCTGGCTAGTTATTTCAATCACATGGCTTAATACCATTCTCAGTTTCTCATGTTTTTAAAATACAAATGAACATAGTAATAAAGTTAATCATTGCACTAGAGAGGCAATAGCAACATAAATGATTTTAAGTACCTAGAATGGAGATTAAACACTATGATATTTCAGTAAAAAACTAAACTCACTATTTATTTTTTATTTTTTGTAGAGATAGGGATCTCTCTATGTTGCCCCAGCTGGTCTTGAACTCCTGGGCTCACGTGTTCTGCCCTCCTTGGCCTCCCAAAGTGCTGGGATTTACAGGCATGAGCCACAGTGCCTGGCCTTAACTATCAATTCTTAGGCAGATTT